TCACATAAATTTATATTCAAATTTTTATTAAGAAATGCTGTGATTTTATTCGGAATAATTTCATTTCTTTCTTCTTGAAAACCCAAGAATCTTAATGACCATGTTCTATGATATCTTTCTAAGTCATCCATTTTTTATCATATTTCGTTTTACAATTGAATGAAGCGTTGAACGAATGTCTAATGTAACAATTTCAGTTAATTGAGTATTCTTCAATGTTGCATCTTAAAAACGAGAGTTTTTCTTTTGACAATGTTTGAAACCGTATTTCGATGTTTTTACTCTGACCGAGCATTTGGAACATAAATGGTTTGTAGTAAATAATGTTGTTCTTCCAAATTTGCCAAGAATTTTATGATGTGTTGTTGGAAGCAAGTTTGGTTGGGAAAAATAGACTTAATCAACTTTAATAATCGAATTGTTCTTGATTTATCTAAATTCGCATCTAAGGCAAAATTCATGATTACTTTCACAGCTAATTTAACTGTTCGATGGCTTACTGTGTAAAGTAGTGGCGACTCATTTTCATAATCAGCATTGTATACAACGTCGTGGACATTATCATTTCCATCGGGGAAATAATCTTTTAAATTCATTTCGGGTAGCATATCCGGTTGATCAAATGCGGCTGTTGGCATCGGAAAGAAACATTCATCATCACTTTCTCCAGAGTTATTATCGGAGCCAGGAGTAATTTCCGATTCTTGTTTCACCTGTTGGCGACTATAATGCTTCACACTCCACATATCTACAAAAAGGAGAAAACAACGTCTGGGTAAAAGGGGTATGTACTTGTATAAGAAGAGAGAGGACTTTTTCGTCCATTTTGCTTTCTTAATGACTATTCACGAAATGGTTGTTTTCCTGCCTCTTTGTTCATCACCCTTCTTTATTCTTTCACAGAGCCTCTTCCACAACCTTTTGCGAATACACTTATTCAACACAAATGAAATCGACTGATATGATAAAATGCTCTGTAAGGCAGCACACACGACCTTGCCAGGCAGTATAACACAATTTTGCCAGAAATTTGTGAATAAGAAAAAGGCTAGTCGAAAAACTGCAGAACGCGAGTGTAGAAAGGAAGATGAGAGCAAGAGAGATTCTTTCGTCTAAATTAAGAAGACTCTTCTTTTCTTTCATTTTCTGCATTTCCTATCCGCTAGAAGTGAACGAAAAAACTACAGTTCGTATTGGATAATATTTAGAACCAATAGGATTTTCTAAACATTAGTCTACTTATGCAGCAAGTGCAAAGAAGTAAGAAAATTGTAAATATATATTTGCAGAAGCACTAAGAGAATCATTGCTATGATTATTCATCTTCAATCATTCTTTTGATCTATTTGTGGAATAGATTTAGGCCTTTTTCCCGGTATACCAAGGGTTTTACCGATTACCGACGGTCGGAAATATACCGTCGGTATCAAGGTACTACCGCGGTTTACCGGCGGTATTGAAAGGCCGAGTCTTATGCAGCTTGAAAACCAACAAACTTTTATTTTTCAACGGACGTTTCGTATTTGCTCTAACCCTAAGAGAAGAAGTTTTCTGTTTTAGAATTAGGCACGTCTCCATTCATGTCATATGAAAGAGAAGTTATTCAGCATATGAAAATATGACGCTTTTTTTCTAACGGGGTTGTTAAATCGAAACCTGCGGAATCTAGTTGTGCATGGCTTATGTATGATGAATGTATAAAATATTTTTTCCTTTTCCTTCACGGTCATCTGATGTTAGTTCACCTTTGATCGCTCTTAAATATCAACGTAAACTGCTCGAAAGAAATGTTCATGGACTAATATTTATATGAACTTTTCTCTTTTTTCTATTGATTTACATAAACTTTTCTTTCGAACAGTTCTTTTACGTTGATATTTAAGAGCGATTAAAGGTCAGCTAAGATCAGATGACCGTGGAGAAGGAAAAAATATTTGATACATTCATTCTTCGCAAACATATACGCGTGTGTAATAAAGTTGTACATTCTTCACGAATGTGATTAGGTTCGAGTAGAATGTGTGATGAAACATGATTTTTCGACAAAAAATGTTTTGTCGAACGTAGACGAACTGCCTGAATTAGGACATATACACATCACACATTTTAGTGTATTCTTGTTTTTATAGATATGTTTTTACACATAGTTGTCGCAATTGCTTTCCTGGTGGTTGGCATCAGTCATAGTAAATCGTTACATACTCCTTACAATCATGGTGGCGAAAAAGTCTTATTTAGGTGGCGACATGATGCTTATATCAACTATATGCGTTGCGCGGTCGTTTGGGATTATAATGAAGACTTAGGTATGTAGGTCGATCCCCAAATAGTTAGAATAGCGATCTTCCGTGAAGACTCAATGACTTCTGTCGATTTATTTACGTTATAGTACAAACACTTATTCGAAAAGTGTGTCTTTTAAAGCGCAGCGGATTTGGAGACTCATCGTTTCGGTTTCTTAGTTTGCGACTTCGTCCATACACTGGGCCTCTACTGCAGCACTACTGTTTTTATGCGCAGAGTAGGCCGATATGTGAGTAAAGACAGGTTTCCGAAAATGTCATATAGAAAGAAAAGATTCTTTAGAGACCGTAGAGAAGAACGTTCTGGAGATCCCGAGTATAGTCAAGGCTGTTTTTATTACCAAAAGGAGCCTTTGTGGACATTCCAATACGGGTGAATTTCGATACATTTGTCGATAACTTTTACTCGTCACATCCTGTGTGTAGTCACTCTGAAGTTCAACAAAATCAAAGAATTCTATCCAGACTGGCGTTCCCTGCTTGCGCGCAGTGGCGAGCCGAGGAGCGCCACCTGCGTTGGTTAGTGCCACCCCTTGCCAGCGCTCCTTGGCCCGCCACTGCTTGCGCGTTAAGTTCGGTTTTAGTATATGCAGAAGAAAGCCCAACTTAGTGTGTGTTCATTTTTTCTCTTGCCTATAAGTGTAGAATCATACAAGATAAATTGTCTGTGTGTTTGAAGAATGTGGTGATTGTTTTATTCCAGAGTAGAAAAGTGAGAGACTACATATTGAGAAACTTAAAGCAGCTAACTTTCAACTGCTACGCGAAAATGATGATTTCTGGCAAAGCGGCTATAAGCAAAAGGATTCGCGTGTAACCGGTTGTGCTGTAGAAGATTTCTAGTTGTAGCTAGATAGAGTCTTTCAAGGGCTACAAAATGACGAGCTTAACTTGTTCAACCCTACACACAAAAGTGAACAAATTATCCCACGAAAACAATTAAAAAGGAATTGTTTGACAATCACATAGTTACAGAAAGAAAGAGCCTTGATTTTGACGCGACTGGAACCGCCGTGAAACGTAGAATAAAAGTACGTATCGCTTTTTCTAAATTTTGTTTTCCTTTCTGACATATTGTAATTTTTTGAAAATGACCTGTTATTATCTATAATCGGCCAAGTGATTTTTTTCTCATTTTTCTATTTCTCGACAGAATTTT